GACAGGGCTGGGTCACATGTGGGGACAGGGACACGCGTGGGGACATGGACACGCGTGGGAACAGGGACACGCGTGGGGACGGGCTGTGGGGCAGGCCTGGGCCACCAGGCGGTGCCAGGGATAGGGCCACGAGGGTGGGCTTGGACAAGGGGCAGGGATGGGGACATGGCTGGAGGTGGGATTGGGGATGGGTTGGGATTGGAGATGGGTTGGGATCGGGGTTGGGATCGGGGATGGGGCTGGGCTCCCTGCAGCCCCAGTGTCCAGGGTGACAGGTCCCTGCTGTGGGTCTGCGGTCCCCACGAGCCCTGGAGCGGAGCAGGTGCCTGGGTGCTCCCCGGTGGGTGCCGTGGTGCCCCCAGCCGTGGCTCACCAGGGAGCTCCCAAGGCGGCTGGCAGCAGTGGGGGCCCTGGGAGCCGATGCAGGGACACTCGTGAGTTCACGTGGCATTTGGACCCCAAACATCTCCCGTGTCRCTTGTGTGCTGTAGATGGGGCAAGAGGCGGCGTCAGCACTGGGTCATGCACAGAGCTGGGCTGGAGCCCGGCCTTACAGACCGCCCCTGCACACCCCCAGTTCGGTGTCATCCACAATTTGACAAGAGCGCAGTCCGGCCCGTTGCTGAGGAAAAGTGTCAGGCTAGCATCAGCCCTTGGCTGACACATATGTGTGTTTCCATCTGCAGAGGCTGCTGCAATAAACCCTTCTGCTGCTGCTGCGTTCAACATACAAAATTGCCATCGAGACTTCCTGGCGAATCACACCCAGGCAAAATACCTTCCACGGGTCTGTGCCGGGCCAGGCGGGAGGTGCCTGGTTCGGTTCTGCCTCCGACACGGCGCCACGCTGGACACGTGCGGTTCCCCGCTGCAGTGAAGCTGATAACGCTGCAGTGAAGCTGATAACACTGCAATCGGCCCCTGAAAGGACCTTCCCCTTTTGGCAACTGCAGGGCACTTGATAGCTCAGCTGTGTTGTCTGATTCCTGGTATTTAAAAGGAGCCATTTAAAAGCAAAAGGTGTGGTATTGTGGGCTCTTCCTCAACTCTTCATTTGAAGTTAGGTGGCTGCAGGAAGGCTCTGCTAATGGTCTTCCTGCCCACCTGGAAAAATCCCAGGATGAGGATGGCTAACCTTGATAATCTCGCTCTAAGCCCCAGCAAGTGGGATATTACACTATTTGAAAAGAGCAGGGAGGTCACCTCACAGCTGCAAGCAGGGAAACAAGTCCATAGGAAAGCCCCATTCCTCAGGTGTGATCCACGTGCTGGAAGGATTGTGAGTCCTGAGCTGCCTTCTGCTTCCTGCCTAGATCCAGGTGGGCAACTGTCACTGACAGAAAACCCAGAGAAGCTATTGCAGAACCTGGGAAGTAGCCTGGGATGGAGATAAAAGGCCGTCTGGCAAGCAGGCATCTCTCAAGGAGCCAAGMTGAGATTACGCATGCAGCCTTAATTTAGCCATTGCTTAATATTTGAATGCTATATTGTGATTTTCAAAGTAGTCTGCTAATGTAAATGTGTAACAAATATCCTTGGAATAAAAGRAAAAAAAAAAAAGAATGTTGAAGAAAAATCAATAGGATGTAGTCCCTGAAGCTTTGAAGAYGTGCTGACAGCTTTAAAAAAAGGCAACTGAGCCAGAGCAGCCCTGCCAGGAATTCCTCTGCTATTGGTCTTTTGAGGGCTAATATCCTTGAACAAGACCACCAGATGTCAACTGCTTTTAACCACAGCCTCCTGCCTACCGAGTGGATAAAACAAGCATCACTGTGTTAATATTAAATATGTGGAGGCAAATTAGACCAAGCATTAGGAATGGCACGAGCCGCCGGATTTTGTGTTGCTCCGGGGAGATTCCACCTGCCCCCACATCTCCAGCACATAGCACATTGTAAACAGGGCCCCGGGGCGGGAAGGTTATTCCCACACCGAGGTGAGGACATGAATTTATCAGCTGTGAGAGCTGCCAGCTCCCATGGCTGTACAATGTTTATGAGATTATGCAAAAAGTATGATGCTAAATTTTGCCAATTTTCTTGCATTGTTCCATTTCCCAACTACTGCCTACAGCGCAGATTGCATGTGGCAGGCAGCCAAAACGCACCCATGCCCCTGTGCCTGGGACATTAGAAACATCTGGGGCTCTTTAGCGAAGGTTGAGGCGCACACCCAGCAGCATCTTCCTCTCCCGCAACCTGGCTTGCTTTATCCCGGGATATTTGTGCCGCCTGAAGACCCGTGCGCCATGGTGGGTTCCCAGTGAGGTTCTGGGGCCAAGTTGGAGCTTCCCGACCCTCTCCAGGTGGTGCTTGGTGCCCCCGGAGCGGGTCCTGCAGGGTGGCACTGCAGGTGGCACGCAAATGTGGCTGCGCAGAGCGCTCTGCTCCGGGGAGCTGCTCCTCTGCAGGCGCCAGAGCCACATTCCCTCAGCAGCCTCCTCGCTGCGCTGCCCTGGGGGACAGGGGACAGGCGTCACCCCGGGGCGCCAGGCACAGCCCGGCAGCCACATTCCCCTGTTTTGGCATGGGGAAGCCTAAGGGAACCGCGGGGCTGGGCAGGGCTGCCTGGAAGGAGACGTGTCCACGATGCCACCRACTCTGCGGGCAGCACCAGYGGCCCTGCCTGTCCGCCTTGGCCCGCGGCTCTTGGGCACCAGCGCTCGGCCGCCGGCTCCAAGGTGTCTGCAAGCCGGGAGGCAGCAGGAGCGGCGAGGCAGGTGCCCGGAGCAGCRGGAGCGGGTGCGAGCCCCCCTGCGCCACCATCTGCATATTCAGCAGTCGTTTCCCGCTGGTTGGCTGCCCAGGGCATTCCTGCTCCCTCTTTAAAGGCCCTGAGCGCAGAGGGAGGTGGTGCTGGGAGCCTGGATTCCTCAGCCCAGGATGCGGAGCCAGCAAGTGCAGGTGAGTGCTGCATCCTGCTGGGGCAGGGACACGAGGCAGCTCTCCCTGGAAACGCGGCTATAGCAGCTCTTCTTGTATAGCAGCTCTTCTTCTGAGTAGCTTCTTCTTGTTCCTTGGTCTCTTCCTGCAGTTAGGAGGAGCCTAGGTGTCTTTGTAGTGTTTGGAAGCTAGTCCTGGTGAAGGTGGGCAGCAGGAGTCTGGAGCAGAGTGCACGGCTGCAGCGGGGAAAGGGACCTGCTGCTCCCGGGAGCAACTTGCCTGGGGCAGGACCTCCTGGGACGGCACTTTTGGGCAGGCTTAGTGCAATCTCCTGTGCTGATGAGAGTCTATTGCCTTCATTTTGGCGGGTAGAGAGCTTCAGGGTAAGGAGCTGGTGAGCTCCCTGTCCTTGCTTTTGAGCGTGGGCGAGATAAGGAATCGTGAAAGAGCAAAGTGCCAGCAAAGGTGTTTGTCACCAGCAAAGTGCTACGTCAAAAAGTGAGGCCCWGGGATCAGCTGTCTTGTGCCCCATCTGTGGGGAAAGCCTTCAGGATGGATGATGTGCATAAATATATTGCTTTTGCTGCTTGGTGATGCTGGAAGCAGCTGAAGGACTGGAGAAGCAGTCCAGAATCAGGGGGTGACCTCCAGACCTGCAGCCACCCCATCCGTGCTCCGCTCTGTCCGGCAGCACGATGGACACGGCRGGAAGCCCTGGATGAACGGAGCAGGGTGGGAAACCTGGCGAGTCCTTYGGAAAACCTCCTAAGCCTTTACGCTTCCTGAGAGTCAGCAAAACAGCTGATACACTTTGGCTAGCCTTGTAAAATGTGTGAGAATGTGTTTAAAAAAAAAGAGAGATTTAAATCAACAGTGGCCCCTCTCCAGGGTGTGGGGCAGTTTTCTGCCCTCTCRCTGTGGAGGTTCAGGGAGGATTCAGAGAGGCATCACAGAGAAGGGGGAAAGAAAGAAACTCGGTGATATTGAAATTAGGACTGTGTAACATGGCAGAGACAAATCTTAGATCTACGCTGCAGTGATAAAGAATGATGTGTAGTTTAGGAAAGGCAGCATTACACTTGGAAAAACTGTCTGGAATAGAGGGCTATTCTGAAAGAAAAAAAAAAAAAAAAGAAACAAAACTGATGAAAACCAGTGAAAGGAAACACATTTTTTGCAGTGTTGTTACCCTCTGGACTCACTGTGATCATGTGGGTAGGAGATTAGTAGTGTTGAAAAGTGTCAGACAGTTCTGTGTATAGAAAAAAAAAGAGTCTCAGATATTAAAGATGGATTAAAGATGTCTGGAAATGAAATATAACGCCTTCTTCTAGGATGCAAAGCTACCGCTAATTAATGTGTTTTAGGAAGGATCATCCCATGGGAATAATTATTCCGTAATCGCTCCGTTTATGAGGTTTTGCTCCTTCTCCAGCGAAGCCGCCAGCACAAGGGAGAGGAGCAGGTGGATCTCTGCCAGGAGTCAGCCTGACAATTCCCAAGCCGCTGGCTGCTGGCTCCGGGGTTCATCCTCATCCCCGGTAATCCCGCAGCCCCGTGCCTGTTATTTTGTGCTCTAACCACCACCGAGGAGCTCCACGCCGYGTTAGCCTGAGCATCCCCTGTGTCCTGCCAGGGAGAGGTCACGTGGCAGCGGCTCCGGAGCCCCTGGAAGCGTTGGCCGCGCTGTGCCCGTCCCACCAGCCTGCTGTGGCCCCAAGGAGGGACGTGTTGGGCTGGCAAGCCCTGCTGCCCGTCTCGGTGTCCCCGGGGCTCTGCTGGCAGGGGCTGGGGGCTGCCGCAGGGACCAGGCGCTGCACCCGGGCGCAGCCGTGTCACGGAGCCGGAGAGCAGAGCTCGCGCTCACAGACACGGGTCCCTCTGCTGCCGTGTGGGGCTGAGGGATGCCCGGGGGGCAGAGCGACCAGGAGCCCTGTGTCTCTCCCTGCAGCTCTCAGACAGCGAGTGCTGCCCGCTGAGGACGCGGGTGCTCTGTGCACAGCTCCTGCCAAAGCCCAGGAGCACCTGAAGCACCTCGGCCCGAGTGTGTGAGGAAGCAGCTCTGCTCACGCCCCTGCACTGCAGGCCACGAGCCTACCAGGACGTCTAAGGTGCTCCCCATTTCTGCTCGTCTGTCTCAGCACTCACKTGCCTCGCATGCACCGCTAGGCTCCCAATACATGTGTGTTACTACTTGTATTTTAATACTAACGCAGTGTTTTTGAAGAAGGTCTGGCCAAGGTGCAGCAAGACAGGGTGCCTCTGGAGGGGCCATCCCTAGTGCTGAGGGTGCTCCGAGCAGCGCCACTGTCCCGGGTGCCGCTGGCCACGCAGGAAGCAGCTCATCCAGAGCTCATCCAACGACCTCCCACACGCTCACTTGTTTTGCAGTGGCTGGAGCTTTTTGCACGTGTCATTCCCTGAAACAGCTCTTCATGGGTGTGAAGGGCTGCTGTCCTAGCTCTGCCATTTCTGCTCTTCCTTCCGCTCCACATCTCTAGCCAGCAGGAATACCAAACGTCCAGGGAGCCTGCCAGCCCCTCCGGCCCCCATCGGAAATGATCCCAACCCTGCTGCGGGTCAGCAATCCGGTCTTCAGAGGGAAAGAGGACACAATGGATGACAGGACTGCCTCTGAACAGGGTGGGATCCATGCCACATCAGGGCATGGCCAGGGGTTGAAAAAGGAGCCCTGTTTACATAGAGACTCTTTGCTGCCTTCTCCCASTGCATCCCTGATATCCCATCTCCTCAGCCACACAGTGGTTAACAGGGGCCTGGATCCTCACATCCTTTTACCTTCCTCCCAGCTGGTTGCTCTGCCCCGGGACTATGGGGATGATGTGTCTCCTGGGCAAGGAGAGCAAGCCCTGGCTCTCCCTGGGCACTGTGCCCTGCGTCCCTCGCCTCGTGCCAACGACAGAGAGCAGCTCTCCRACGAGCACCTCCGAGCCAAGCGGGCCAGGGTGGAGAGCATCATCCAAGGCATGAACCTCCCACCAAACGCCCCGACGTGGGACAGCAGCGGGGCGAGAGGTGGCGGACACGACCTGGAGAGGGGCCGGGAGACACCTCGGGAGAGCAAGAGGAAGCCGAGGCTGCCCCTGCAGCAGCAGCAGAGCCATGGCGGGGACCGAGAGGCCATCGCGGGCGCCTGCAGCTCCCGGGCAGAGAGCTGCCAGCAGCTCAGGGAGCAGCTCCTCACCTTGGAGCAGCAGCTGCGGCAGCTCCAGGAGAGGTTCCTCCAGTTCTGTGACCCCGGAGAGGCTGCTCACGAGCAGSAAGGGACGGAGCAGGCACATCCAGCACGTGGAGCGGCTGCAGGCAGACCGGGCCAGGGTGGCGCGGCCGAGGCCGGTGACACGCTCCAGAGGCAGGTCTGGAGGAGCRCCCCGGAGGCGGCAGAGGCTGAGGAAGCCACAGGCAGCACGGGGGGCCCGTCCTCGCAGGCCACGCTGCTCTCGGAGACGCTGAAGCTCGAGCTGGCCGCAGCGACGGCTCGCGTGGTGGATTCCGTTCTGGAGGCCGCGTGGCCGAAGGCGGCCGGCCGCCTCCCGCAGCGGCACCGCAGCCTCCCCGTGCCCGCGGAGGGAGCCAGGAGGGAGCACTTGGCTTCTGGGAAATGCAGGAAACAGCTTCCCGAGCCTCCCCACAAGGATGTGCCGGATTCCCCCGGGGGAGCCCAGGCTGAGGCTCTGTCAGGAGCTTCAGAGAAGAGCCCAGACTCTCACCCTGGCCCTGTAGGTTCAAGGGGGCTGAGAAAACCCTGCCAGGTCGCTGGTGTTGGCTACCCGCTGGGCACGACAGGCCCTGCTCAGGACAGCCAGCAACTCGGCCAGCTGCGGGGCTGCAGCCAGCACGGCCCCTGGGGCAGCAGCTCCCACGGGAGCCCTTCTGCTGCGGAGCGGGGTCCCCCGGAGCCCCTCGACCTGCACTGGGGAGCCATCAAACTGAGGTCACCGGTCGTGAGGCAGCAGCAGCTGCCCGTGCCCGTGAGCCCTGCCCGCGCAGACAGCCTGGCGCTGCTGCCCGCGGCCAGGGCTGGCGGCCGGGAGCCGCACGATGGGGCACCCTTCCCCTCCGTCCACATATCCTTTGGAGGTGCTGGGGGATGCTGGCAGTGGGAGGTGCCGGGAGGCACTGCTGGCCTCCCACGCATGCTCTGGAGCGAGGGGCGCTCTGGGCTATCTACACAACTTTGGGGGCTCCCCGCAGGACCCTTCYGTGTAGGGTCAAGAAGCAACTCGGCAGGCAGCATCCATGTGCTGAGCTGAGCCCAGGCCTGGGCCCTGCTCCAGGGGCAGCATGTGGGGGTCTCCCAGCCTGGCTGTGTGTCCYGCTCCTCCTGCAGGCTTACCGGGACACGGCTTGGCCAGAAACAACAGGCCTCGCGTGCCGAATGCCCTGTTGTTTCTGGCAGCCACGACATGCCTGGCCAGCGCTGCCCCTCAGCCCTGCCTCTCCTCCCCACACGGCTGCCTGCAGACTGTGGAGGGGCACTGATGCTCTTCAGACTAGCTAGGTGCCATAAAATAGCACAGAATAGAAGTCAGGAGCTCCCACGCCTATTTTGATGGTGGACCCATGATCCTACCCACGGAGTCGATGTCTCAGAAATCCCTGTTCCCATGAGCCTGGCATGGCATTCGACCCTGGTTTCTCCGGGATGCCAAAGGGAGCAGTGTTCCTCACCAACCACAGTGCCATTACCAGGCGAGGGAGAAGCCATTGCCGCAAGCAAAAGCCCAGGGAAGGTGCCCCTGCCAGCCTGACAGGCTGTGGGSAGACTTTCCTTGACTCTGAGGTACATCCAGGAGGCGCTGAGCCCTGGGCACCTGAAGAAGGCCAAGCTGATGTTCTTCTTCACCCGCTACCCCAGTTCCACCCTGCTCAAGAGCTACTTCCTCGATGTGCAGGTAAATCTGCCCCACACGGGGCTGCTCCCGGGCAGGAGCCGCTCACGCGGGCGCTCAACCAGCCCAGGGCTAGGGGGGCTCTCCCACCCGCACCCACACACCTCAGCCACGTCTTGGGCACGGGGGATGTCCACATGTATTTGCTTTGCAAAAATGTGTTTTTTTCTGTGTGCGTGCCTGTGTTTTACCCCCCTGGGTCGGTGGGGAAGGGGCTTGCCTGACGGTTGTTCTCCCGGTCCCACCACTTGCAGTTCAGCCGCTGCATCACCTCCCAGCTCATCAAGTGGTTCAGCAACTTCCGCGAGTTCTACTACATCCAGGTGGAGAAGTTCGCGCGGCAGGCGCTGCTGGAGGGCGCTGCGGATGCCGGGGCGCTGAGGGTCTCGCGGGACTCGGAGCTCTTCCGCGCGCTCAACACGCACTACAACAAGGGGAACGACTTTGAGGTGAGAAGGGGCAGCTGTGGGGCAGAGCCCGGGCGAACCAGCCCGCTTGTGGGGAATGGGGACCGCTACAGCACTCTTATCTGGGGAGGGAGCAGCTCCAGCCCCAGATTTGCTGCTGACTGAAACCACAGAGGTGGCAAGAGGAAGATGGTCCAACCCGTGTCAGCCCTGTGGTGCCTGTAACTACTTCCTTTCTCTTTCAGCGTGGCCTTTAATGACTTTAGGGCACAAGAAGGGCATGAGCTCTGGTAACTCTGCCTTGTTCCTCACAGCAGCCAGGGAGGCAAGAGGACCGAATGTATGGTACCTGAAAGGCAAGCCCTGGCTTCAGGAAGGGTCAGGCCTTCTGCACCTTCCTGTCCTATGCCAGTGGGATGAGCGGGTGGGAAGTGTCCCCAAAACAATATAAGGATTTCCTAGTGTTCTCTGCTGATGAGCATCTCTGATTTTCCTGCTTTGGAGGGAGGGTTCCCCTCTGCAGTGACCACATTTCAGGGGTGACTGGCCGTTCTGGTGGGCCAAATCCCTCTGCAAAGCCTGCAACACTCTGAAGGCACTCTCTGAGGGCACAGATCCGGCAAGTGCCCAGAGGCACTTCGAGGAAAATCAGGGGCACGCCAGGACAACCTAGGATCTTCTGGTCCTCTGAAACTGCAGTGGGTAATAGAGAGGGCAGCTCATGTTCCTATGGAGAGATGCACTCAGGGACAGGAGCTCGAAGGACCATGGGGCTGGGCCCTGTGCAGGAGAACCTGAGCTGACCCTCAAGAGGGAGGCGGCAGGGCTGAGGTGTGTGGTGGCTGGGAACCACCATCGCCTCCCGCTGTCTCCACCGTCTCCTGTCTTCCCAGCCTCCCACCGTCTCCACAGCCTCCCGCTATCCGCTGTGTCTCCGCAGGTCCCYGCGCGCTTCCTGGAGGTGGCCAGCCTGACCCTGCAGGAATTCTTCAGCGCCGTCAGGGCGGGCAAGGACTCCGACCCCTCCTGGAAGAAGCCCATTTACAAGATCATTTCAAAGCTGGATAGTGACATTCCAGAAGCGTTTAAATCTTCTGGCTGCTCTCAGGACCTGCTCCRGAGCTGAATCTCCATGAAGGTGGCCTGGGGCCTCTGGAATACTGTACAAGAGGGCCGGGGGCAGGGGAGAGGCTGGTTGTGCTGAGTACAGCCGGGATGCCGCTTGTGCAGTGGATTCAGCACCCAACTGTGTTCAGCACCCAACAGACTATCTGGAGTCTGGGCTATAGCATGGTCTCCTTGGGCGAGGTCTGTTAGGATTTTAGGCAGTCCAGGTGCCAGGATTTTCAGGCTGTATGTTTTGCTCYGCTGCTCAAACCCAGCAAGGTCTCATGCCATGGAGGGGACAGACGGGAATTAGGTCATTAGGCTGGAGCCTGGGGGATCCCGTCTCCGCCTGGCCCTGTCCTCGCCTTCTCCGTGACCCTGGGCAAGGGTCCTTCCCGCTCCGTCTGGAGGGCTGCAGGCCAGGACACACAGCCTTTCTGTCTGCAAAGCCTAGCAGTGGGCAGCTTTCTTGGCACAGCTGCCCCATGTCCTGTGCTCAGTTCAGCTGCACTCCTGGGTCTCTGTCCAGATATAACATGCCAACGTCCAAAGAAAACATTTGGTGAATTCCAGCACTACAAGCACTCCATGAGGATGGTTAACCCTGTCTTGGAGATATAAAAGTGCTTCTTATTGACAACCTCCTCCTCCGGGCCTGCAGTGGCATCTGCATCTGCACGGTGCTGCATGGGGGCCATGCATGTCATATGGGACCCCAGCCCCATGCCCCTGTGCCCTTTTTAATACCAGGCTATCCGTGCTGCTGCTGCGCTGGACCACGCGCAGCCCGTAGGAATGAGCACGGCGGTTCCTCAGCGCGAGCCCGGAGATGATGCCGCTAGCTCTGGAGCACGGGACACCCCGGCCACGAGGCAGGTGGACGTAGCCCCCCGGCAGGCCCACGCGGAGGCTCKGCCCTCGTGTGGCCCCATTGCAGCCCCAGCCCGGGCGGCCCTAGGTGGGCGCACGCAGAGCCCGAGATGCTCGTGTCGCGAGCGCGGCCCGGGACACGGCTCTCTGCGCTCCCCGCAGCACCATTTCCCGTTGGGATCTGGCTCCGTGTGCAGTCGGGCACCCTCCACGTGGGTGCCGGGCTGCAGAGATCTGTTGCTGCTCAAGATGTGCCCCTGAGCAGCTCCTGGGTTGCATGGACACGGGCAGGGTAGCTCCCTTTTCTGCCTCCGAACTTTAGCTACAGACCCTGTTTCTATAGAAGTGAAAAAACAAAGACTTTTTCTTATGCGTGACCAGAACCAAGTGGCCACTTGTACACCAGGTGACCCTTGGTGATGTGGTTCGCAGGACAGGCGCTGCAGTCCCRGCGGGAAGCACCGTGGGGAGGAAGTGTGCTGTACGGAGAGGACGAAGCTCCTGGGAAAGCTGCCCGAGGAAGGCATGGCAAGGGCAGGGACACATAACCAATACCAACAGCTACACCTCAGCGCAGAGGAGAGGATGGAGAGGAGCTCGGGATGTTTTCTCCAGGCGATACCCAGGGTTACACTCGAGCACCGTAAGCTGCACGGGATGGGGAACTCCAGGCTCCAGCATCCGATGAGAGCAGGGATGCGCTGCACACAGGCAGCGGGTTTTCAGTTTTAAGGGAATGTGTGATAACCAAATATGAGGCTGGGATGGTGCCTATCAAGTAGGGGCAGATTTACTGTGGTACTTGCTCTTGYGAGAGTGGTGAGCTGGAGTTCCTGCTTGTGTCCTTAAGCTAATTTCTTGAAGTTTGTAAATCTTACAACCCTAGCTTTAAAATTACTCAATCCATTTAAAAATAAATGCACAATTTAAATTAGCACTTCACCTCCTTAGAGACTTATTGGGTAACTTTCTCTCTAAAGCTTTGGCCTGGGAATTTTTTTGATTATTTTGGGAAAAGATTCGCTTGTAGCCAGGGGCTTATTCCTCCTGCCAATGCTCTTGCAGAGCTGAGCAGTCTAACCTTGTGCTCACCTAAACCCATTGTGTCCCCCAAGGCTTCCCAGCCCTGTTCCTGCTGGGTTCCTGACAGGCTGTCAGGAGAGGCAGGCAAAGCTGTTCTGGGTACCTGGTACACGACGGCCACGAGGAGCATCAGAAAGGTGGCTGAGCAGCAGAGGAATGCACATCCTGAAGGTTGGGGGCTCCAGATTCACATGTAGGTCATCTGGGGAAGGGGTCTTGGAAGGAAACATTGGTTTGYCCTGCAGGCAATAACTACCTCAGAGCCCAAGTAATGCAGCTGGTTCCCTGGCAGAAAACAAAACTACCACCMCTGGAAAAAGAGGTGGCAGCCTGTCCCAAGCAATGCACTAATAAAGGCTTTTGGTTGCAGCTACACAGCTGGGGCGTGGGAGATATCATAGAATGCCGAAGGTTGGAAGGGACCTCAGAGGTCATCGAGTCCAACCCCCCTGCTCACACAGGGTCACCTAGAGCACGTGGCACAGGGCTGCATCCAAGCGGGTTTTAAAGATCTCCAAAGAAGGAGACTCCACCACCTCTCTGGGCAGCCTGTTCCAGTGCTTTGTCACCCTCACAGTGAAGAAATGCTTCCTTAAGTTCCTGTGGAACTTCCGATGCTTCAGTTTGAAGCCATTTCCTCTAGTCCTATCCCTGCCCACCACTGAAAAGAGGCCACCCCCCTCCTCCTCACTGCCTCCCTTGAGGTATTTATACACGCTGATCAGGTTCCCCCTCAGCCTCCTCTTCTCCAGGCTGAACAGACCCAGCTCTCTCAGCCTCTGCTCATAGGGCAGATGTTCCAGGCCCCTGATCATCCTCGTAGCCCTGCGCTGGACTCTCTCCAGCAGCTCCACATCCCTCTTGTACTGGGGAGCCCAGAACTGGACGCAGTACTCCAGATGTGGCCTCACCAGGGCTGAGTAGAGGGGGATGATCACTTCCCTCGACCTGCTGGAGACGCTTTTCTTAATGCACCCCAGGATCCCGTTGGCCTTCTTGGCCACCAGGGCACACTGCTGCCTCATGGTCAACTTGTCGTCCACCATGACACCCAGGTCCCTCTCTGYGGGGCTGCTCTCCAGCAGGTCCACCCCTAATCTGTACTGGTGTCCAGGGTTATTCCTCCCCAAGTGCAGGACCCTGCACTTGCCCCTGTTGAACCTCATGAGGTTTCTCGCYGCCCAGTCCTCCAGTCTGTCCAGGTCCCTCTGGATGGCAGCACAGCCCTCAGGGCTATCAGCTACTCCACCCAGTTTGGTATCATCGGCAAACTTGCTGAGGGAGCACTCCAGCCCTTCATCCAGGTCGTTAATGAATAAGTTGAACAGGACCGGACCGAGAACTGACCCCTGGGGGAYACCACTAAGTACAGGCCTCCAGCTGGACTCCGCACCACTGACAACCACTCTCTGCACCCTGCCATCGAGCCAATTCCTAATCCACCTCCCCGTCCACACATCTATCCCACACCTTYGGAGCTTGCCCAGGAGGATGCTGTGAGGGACAGTGTCAAAAGCCTTGCTCAAATCCAGATAGATGACATCCACCGCTCTGCCCTCATCTATCCAKATAGATAYTCCTTYGTAGAAGGTGATCAGGTTAGTCAAGCAGGATTTCCCCTTGCTGAATCCATGCTGGCTACTCCTGAGCACCTTCTTCTCYTCCATGTGTCTGGAGAGAGCAGMCAGGATGAGCTGCTCCATCACTTTCCCGGGGATGGAGGTGAGGCTCACCGGCCTGTAGTTACTCRGGTCCTCCTTCTTGCCTTTTTTGAAGACCGGACCACATCCTATTGGAGCAATACTTTCCTGAACAGGGCCTACGAAACAAGTCCTGTGCATGCACAGCCCCTGAGGGAGCAGCTTCTTGCCCAGCTGATTCGCTTTCTTCTGTTAATACAYAGGTTCCTGGTGCCAATAAAACTGGAGTGAGGGGGGCTGAGGGCAGGGCAAGGCCAGGGAATTGGGAGAAAGCAGCACAACCCATGGGTCCCAGGGGGTGCTGGGGGCACCTGGGGTTACTCTTGGGATGAAGCAGTCCAATGCCCAAGAGAAACAGGGCATGAACTCATAAGAAATCTGAGTTTCACTGGTTGTGCTGTTCAGACGATGGCCTATATTCCAGCAGTGCCCAAAATACAGCAGAGTGTTTGAACGCAGACTAACGGGCGCCAATCCCAGGCAGCTTTCTAGTGACAAAGCGTGTACCCTTGGGGGGCTGAGGGAGAAGGAGGAGGTGCTACCCACACAGCAGCCATGAGCCACCTCCTGCATCACTGAAGTTGCTTCATTGTTTTCCAGCAATTGTCCTAGGAAGCAATTGTGCTCACCTGCTGCTGACTCCAACTCATCTGCCCTAAAAATCCCTTCTTTGCCTGTCCTAATGTCTGTGGTATGCACAAAAAAACCCCACAGACATCACTAGCCATCTCCTCTAGGAACAAGTCTTCAGAGCTATCCCGTAATATTTCCAATTACATCCATACTCTATCCACGCTCCATCCACAGCAACATAACCGCCCCCATAGCTAAACAASATAGTTCATAGCAAAGATTGACTGCTAAGCAAAAAAGCCCAAACCAAAACAAACAAGAAAAAAAGAGTTTTCCTGACTCCAGGCTGTCAAGTGTCTTGTGGTAGCCAAAAGAGGGAGATGTATCCACGTTCACTAAGCTTAACGGCCTTAGAGCCGTTAAGAATACAGCTAATTAGAGCTTGAGAAAGGTTCTCCTGCATGTTGAGGCAGTGCGGTGTGAGTAATGGTTTGGGGAGGAAACTCTGAGAAGCAGTAAAACAGCTCTGCTTTTCCTTTTCTGCTGCCAGTGGTTCGGTCATGTCTGCAGTGGCCGAGCCAGTCCTGGAGGCTCCCAGGTCAAATAAGATGCTCTTGAACGGGAGCTTCCTTCAGATATGGGTATCGGGAACAGCAGCTCCTTTCAGGCCAACGTCCCACGGTGAACCAGGGGCCATGCTCATGAGACCTCAGCAGCATTTGCCGCCCCAAGCACACGCTGGGAGGACACATCAACCCAGGCTGCAGTAAGAAATACCACATCTGGGAGACCC